CATATTTTCAGATTCTCAAGACTTAAGCTTAAACGTTATTAAATAGGTACTTTTTATATGTGTAAAATTGGTTAAAACATAAATGTAATAAAAGTAGGCTCTAAGATATTTGATTATCTCTCAAAGACTGCCACTTAGAACAGGCCAGTGGCTCACATTAAGTGAGACAGAAAAACGACTGTGTTTAAATCCCCTTCCAAAATAATGATCTAAAAGAAATAATACATCCTGAAAAACAATATAGTTTTCATTCAAAGCTGCTAAAAAGTACTTTGACTATTTATTGTATTATTTTGCAAAAAAGAAAATACATTAAACAAAACCAGAATTTGTAAGTCAGAAAGAAAGATCCCAGAACTTCAAAGAGAGTAGATGATGATGCATGTGTGTGAAAACTATGGAAAGACAGGTCCCAACAAGTCCTTTGGCACTTCTATAAAAGATGAAAAGTCACTATGTGACATAGAGTGCAAAGAAAGCAAAAGAAAATCTGAAAGCTTTCAAGTTACATTAGAGTTTCTAGAAAATATGTCCAAAGTATGAACATCAATTTTACAGTAACTTCAAAAGGGATATGGGTAAGCTCATTTATGTTTTCTTCAAAATTAACTTCCTTGCCTAAAAGGAAGTAAAAAGTTTCCACATAGAAAATAATGCAGAGAAAATTTCTAAATAACATAGTACTTAAACAGAGCTATCTAGGACTGCCTTTACAATAATTATATAGTTTCACTGATGAAATATGATAAGAATGGGACCCATTCCTCTGTGGTAAGCAGGGAAGTTGCTGTCTGCCAGGAGTGCAGGTCCACGAGCTTGGGGTGTGTCATGATTGCCCTGTGTATGTCATGAAGGTAAAATTTTCTTCAAAATCGTGATAGAATAATAAGACTAACATGAAAACAAATTATACTTCGATGAATTAATGGCAGGAAAAATGAAAAACTGACAAAAATAAAAATACTATAATAATGTATTTCAAGACAGAATATTCCCAACTGTAATATATGTGCTAAAATAAAAAGTGAAAGTAGGAGGACATTAGGAGCAATAGCTTAAAAATGTAACAGTGAGAGAGAAAAATCAGTTATATATTTCAAAAGGTATTTATACAAGTTAGTAGAATGTTGTATGCCTGGACTCCAATAATTAACGCTGTGCCAAGAAACACAACTAGAACACCTTATTTTTTTACCATACCACCTATTAATTAAAAGAGAGAAACACAACTCTGAAATAGAAATGATAAAAACTTAAGGTAACAATAGGAACTCAGCACAAAGGATAAGATCAAGATCAAAAGAACTGATCACTTTCTTCTGTTTCTCTTAATCCTATATTCCTTGAACAGTTTCGTATGATACCTTACACCAATTGTCTTGTTTTCTGAATTGATTGTTGGAAGGCAGGCAGAAAAGATGAGAGGGAAAAAGGGAAGGTAATCACCATTAGCAGTTATTTTCAACTTTTATTTAGTATAAGCGTATTGCTAAGAAATTTGCTTAGTCAAACCCCTTAAATTCTAATTCATTAATTCTAGAATGGTCCAAAAATAGCTGTAGGGTGGGTCCAAAAATAGCTGTAGGGTGGGTCGAAAGTCTACATCTCAACAAATACTAACGCAAGTAATGATGGCCTCTGGAGCATCATTTCCAAACTTGGTACCACACAGTATTCTACGCTACCAGAAAAGTTTTAAAAATGCTTTTTTGACAAAAACAAGTTAAGAAAAGGAATAAACAAAAGTAATCATTTTTCTAAATATTAGGATATTTTTCCTGGAGCTTCAGTGTGCATTTGAATTTCTACAAGAAAAAAAACAATCACACCACATTTCCTAAAATTACTGGCTCCATTATGGACTCTTTTCCTGGTGTTTCACTCACCAAAATCTGAAATAAGCCTAAAGCTTTTAAACAAGAAAACTAGAGACAAAGAGCGAGAGCAAGATGAAAGGAATGAGATTATATTAGCAAATTTTAGTTTCCTCATAATTCTAGGATAAAAAATGCAGACCGGTAAAGGAGAGAAAAATATAGAAGAATCCTTTAATATTAAAGAGTTCTCTTTTATCTCAAGTAATACTGAACTACAGGCACATAAATATTACCATAATATACATAATTTTCCTCTATATGATAACTCCAAAGTTAAAGATGATAATACTGGTGACAAGGCTTTCTTGAATAAAGAAACTGGAAAAACAGTGTTTCATAAGGGGATAATCTTTGTAGACACAGACATATGAAATAATAACTCTTCTCTAAGATCTTAAGAACAGTAGTTACCATTTTCAAACAATTATAGAAAATATTTTAGAAATAGAAACTAGCAGATTTATTTAACAAAGGAAAACTTTCTCTAGTTCCCTTATAAACAAAATATATTTGTGAAGCCTAAAAAAGAGTTATAAATAGTGGAAACTACAAATAAAAACTATTTCAAGTTGATCTACTTAGCGCACCCAAAATAAACTATTTCAATCAGCTAAGAGATAACAATTCCCAGATTTGCCTCACCAATTTTATATAAGCCCAAAACACAAAACTGAATAAAAAAACAAGGTGAATTCTCCAAAATGAGATCCATTAAGTGGCTATAATATAGAAGGTTAACACAGGTTTTTAAAAAATTTTTTGAGAAAACTGTTACTTTAAGGGAAAAAATTAAAGACTCTTTAAAATGTAACAGGTAACAAAACAAATGATGACAACTAACCCTAAAAATATCTTTATATCTCCCTTGAGGAAAGAAAGTTTTGTAAAGTGCCTGCCTCAGCTCAAGCCAGGAAAGTAAAATATGTCTGCCCTAAGAATTCATAACTATAAGCCAGTACTTAAAGGTTTAAAATTTACACTCCTGAAGTAATGGAAAACATACACACCAAACTTTTATTTAAAATATTCTCAAGTTGGTAGAGACCCTTCCAAGGTACCTGGTAAAAGTGAACATAAATGATTTCCGAAAGAAACTCTTTAAAACTTGGCCTCAAAGAATTTGCAATGAGAAAAAGGTGAACACCCCAAAAGAAAAATCGGTTAAACATTTGCATACATATTTTCCAGAAAAGGAAATGCAAATTACCAAAAATATGTAAATAGATGCACAAAATTGTTAGTACTGAGAGAAATGCAACATAAAATGTCAACATACTATTTTCTCTGCATCACATTTGAAAGCATTAAAACACTGGACAAGTTTGTGAAGCAACAGAAACATTATCCATTGCTGGTATGAGTGTGAACTGGTTTGGAAAACAACTGTAGTTATCTAGCAAAACTGAAGATGCAGATAGTCTGTAACTTAGCAAATCTATACCTTCATACATACACAAACTCCTTGTTACCATGATGCAGGAGACATTTATCAGAATATTTAAAACAAAGTTGTGTAGAATAAAGTCCCAGTCTTGCATTTGATTCCCAGTCTCATTGCTTACTAGAATAAATCCTGCACCAGTAACAACACTTGTAAATTTGTGAAAATGAATTTTATCATTCCTTAAAAAAGAATTTTTTTAATCCACTACACGTTTCTTTCCCTGACCTTTAGCTTTTGATAAATGAGAAAAATGAGCCAGTTATCAAAGAAGAACTAATTCTTACTTCAAAAGAAAAATAAACATAAAAAGTAAGTTGTTGGTCACTAACAGGAAAAATTTTTTTTTCTTTTTTTTTTTTTTGAGACGGAGTTTCACACATGTTACCCAGGCTGGAGTGCAATGGCGCG